AGCTCTCTAGACTGTAGTGCTGCAGTTTTGTAGAATCCGGGTGCTCGGGCCCGCACCCGGAATCTGCCGGCAGCCAATCAGAAGAATGCGCGCCAGCTGCCTCGCTGGCGCTGTGGCCCTAACGGCCACCCGGGGGATTCCAGCCTCGCTGGGCACCTGGAAGCTGCCGGTCCGCTGCTATGTCAGATAGCGCCGTGACAAGGACGACCCTCGAGGATCCACCGGGCACCCCTCGGGAGCGTCCGGTACCGATCACGTGCATAGAAGTACATAATACCTATGAACCATAAGGACTCTCCTTAAAGATTTGTCTTAATTCTATTCTTGATATGCTCAGTGCCTACTCGCGAAACACCTCACAGTAGGGATAGAGGTAGGGTTGCTAAGAGGTAGGTAGTGACAGAGGTAGGGTCTTATATAATCACTACTCCACCTAATCTCTACCTATCTATTGGCAGCTCTACCATATCCCTAGCACTTTCTATCTATCACTGTAGTGTAACGAGTGCTATACCCATAAGTCCTACTTAGGTAGACTATAAGTACTCCTAACTTCTTCTTAATTGTAGGGGATAGATAGTTAGATATAAGGGGAACAAACAAGAAGATAACACAAGTTAGAACTCTTGAGATTACTTATGGTTCTATAGTATATAAAAGCCTCTCTCGTATACTCCTACCCTAGGATCGTAGTGTATGTACACTAGGGTCGCTAGCGACCCTGTGCACCAGCACACTATCTGCGAGATACCTTATAATTGACTCTCTGTTTGTAGTTTATTGACAGTGAAGGCCGTTTGCAGACGAGTGTGCTTTATGAAGAGGGACACAGTCGCTGCATTGTCTTTGCGGTTATAAGGATAAGCAGGGCATTGGCTTAATATAAATGTTGAAGAAAGCAGAGCGTATCCTGAAGTTGATGTTGTAGCTGAAGATAATAACGGAGATTTTTTATATGTCGAGGAGTCATTCCTGTTGTTATACTCACGATCTTTGGAGGAATTAGCAGGGTCGAAGAGTGGTAAAGCTCATCAGACGTGCATATAGTTTCTGCATAAACGGGAAGTTAATGCGGAGGGCTGCGTTCTAGAAAGAAATTTAAAAAGTTTATAGGCAAGAGGGCGGGAGGATAAACTTCAAAAGGCGTTTCTAAGTGGCGTAAGCTACTATGCTAATCTTCGGCGGTGAAGAGCGTGCTGCTGTAGCCTACAATACCCTAGAAACTATTCTCTGAGGACAACACACTCTAGAGCACCTTTAACGCGACTGTAGGCTCAGCTATAAGCGTAAAAGAAAAGTAACCTAGAAGAGGACACAACTACTCCGCGTACAATAGTGAAAACTCAGCGAGGATTACCCTAGGGGGGACGACGGGCGAGATATATTCAATAGAATACACTAAAAATATAGAAAGAAGACTAAGGGTCTGTTTGGTTTCGTCTTTATTTACTGTTTGTAATACTGGATTAGGGCTCCGTCTAGAAAGCAGAGCTGGAAATGGCTTTGTGTTAGTAAAACGAAGATTTAGCCGTTACTAACTTGCGCTGATAGAAAAGGCTATGTCTATTGTTTACTTGCTTTATGCTTTCGTTTCTTTCAGCAAAACGGAGCTCCGTTTTTGCTGCCTTGTTGGTAACTTTTCGTGAAGGTAGCCCATCACGTGACTCGAACAGAGATGAGATGAAAATCAGCCGAACAGCCCATCCCCCTTCCTGTCGAAGCTCTCAGCCTAGAACGTAAATTGGACGGAGACGGCAAATGGAGCAAAAGAACAGTCCCTAACAAGAACCAGATGAACAGGCTTACTTAGCGTAATGTTGAGTTGAGTTGTGTAAGCGCTAGAGCCGTCTGTACTTTCGTACAAAGAGAGAAGCCGTCAGTACGATAGTGTGTTGTTCTTGGCAACATCGACCCCGCCCACATCATTCCGTTCATCGTGCAGACACATCGTCGAAATGAGGCCACATGGAGTACGTTGCCAGATATCTTCTTATAGTATACATGACTGAGAAACGGTAGGTTTTGTGTGTGTACCAAGAATACCCAACCGTCATTTGCCCTCGCTGTAATGGTTCATGGTCAAGTTTGGCATAATTATATGTCGTAATGGTACATGCAACACTCTTCTGCACATAGGAAGGCTGACCAGACAAGCCGGAACATCCCATAAGATTAGAAGACTCTTCTCCGTTTGTCACCTCCGATTAAGTTTTTGAAACTTTGCACATTCCTTACGTCATGAGTGTTCTTCCCGCCCATCAGGTGGAGAGAGATGCTTAGTATGTAAGGGTACCGCGGAATAGTCATCTGCTGGCATACAAAAAGGTACCGAAAGGTGCCGGAGGTTCGGTGTACCCCTGCAAGCCGCTGACGTTACTGAAGATGTTTTTTGTCTCCATATTGGCATCTTGCGCGACAAGATTGGCCGAAGTTCCGAGGTGTATGTAAGCTTCTTCAGGCAGTTCAGTTCATCTGCCTGGTCGCCCACAAATATCCATTACACTGGGGAACGCGTGAAAGCGTACATAGCACATATATTGTTGAATATTATGTGCTAATAAAATCTACCCCAGGATCCTGAACCTATATACGTAACGCTAGCGCATAGAGTAGCAGTGGTAGTCCCGGATGTGGCTGGACATACATAAGCATGTCCTGACATCCATCCCGTAAAGAAAGCGCGGCAAAAACTCGACTTTCTGGGAGAGGTCTGCAGTGATTTCCGCATATTTTGTTTAAAATTAACATGCTAATTATAGACTCAACAGATGTTGCGAAGAAGAAGCAGGGAAGAAAACCATCAAAGTTTGTATATTTCCCTACACACACCGTAATCCTGATCAGGAACTGCACCGCAAATCGACAGTGAGATTGGGATTACAAAAGGACCGATGTAGCTTGGCTTTTCAACCTTAAACCAGCCGTCGGGAAGCTGACCAAAGCACCACCGGTGAGACTTTTGTGACTAAATGAGGTAATAGAAAGTACAAACTCAGACAGTAGTCCACATTTCATGCGAGCGGATAAAAAAACTAGAAAGAGAGTGGATACCAATAATTGCAAAGCAAAGTTTCTACACTGAGGATGCCTGTAGACATGGCCTGAGGATTGCTAAGAGGTTGCTATGAACTAGCGTAGCTCATACATACGTACTCCTTGTCAGCTTACATACTTACTGACGATCACCATTTTCACCAAAAGGCACCACCAAATCGGCGGAACACTGATGCTGTACAACCCCGCTTGTTTCTTCCGGACCAATCCCGGGGCATCCGCCTCTCAACGTCTCTGTCACTAAGATTCGGTATCGTGAGATTTGGATCTAAATTCCCATATACCATTTACTGATGATTTTTGTCGCCACACACCAGGAGAAACAGTGTACATGTATAGTGGATAACAACAACGTGATTCCTGCTAAGACTCAACCTCGACTAGGAGTGCTAGTAGCTTGCTCAGATCTACACATCTCGTTCAGAAAATTACCGATCTTGAGAACCTTGAACCTACACACTTACTATACACACGCAGGTCATAAGCCGGCGCTTACTCCGAAATGTAAGCCAACAAAGTCTTTCCCACTCTTTCAAGTAAACATGAAATGAGCGCAACACTCTGTATATAAATACAGTTGTAATTCCCAAGTTGGATGGCATCACCACACTTTCTTCCTCACATCCACCAATACCAATCACCACTCGGTTCCAAGAAAAGAAAAAATGGCTCCCCTTATGTCCTACATCCTGGCCCTCGGTGCCCTGGCCAGCACCGCCCTAGCCACACCTACCTACCCTGCCGAGCCAATCAAGTACCAAAACAACACTCTGTACACCTACAGGGAGCAAGGCTGCACGGGCCACTCCTTCAGGTTCGTCGACTTCCAGCCCAACGTATGCGCCGTCACCATCACCCGCCCCGGCCTCAACATCAGCGAAGCCATCGCCGCCAAACTCACGCTCGTCAAGTCCGGTCGCCTCGTGCGCACCGAAATCGGGTACACGAACCCCACCTTCGTCGCGTGGAACGAGGGCCCAGCGAGCAACTCGGATGGACCCCTTCAGTGCGGCACGGTTCGCGATTCCGAGGTCGTCAAGGGCAACACGCTGTGCCTTAGCACTCCTGACAACGAAAACGACCACGGTTACAGCTACTACCGTGACGATAGCACGGATAGTTCGTCTGGCGTGCAGAAGAGGGATGCGCCCCGCTGCACGGGCGAGCAGTACCCTGACTCTGTCATTATTGCTGGAGTTGTTTACACCCTTGTCGGTGTTCCTACGGATGTTGTCATTGAGCTCATAGTTGCAGTTATCGACGGTGCGGTTTCCGTTAGGGCTGAGCTTGATATTTACATCATCGGTTAGCTTGGTGACAAGTGAGGGCCACTCTAGCTCTACATCGTAGAGTCTTGGGGTGCCTTTTTCTTTTGCCGGAGCCGGAAATATGTTAGTCAGGGATAATACGGAAAGGGTGTATATGTAATTTATTCATTCTTCAGGTCGCGATGTCGTACTCGGCGCGTGATTTGGTATTAAATATTTACAATTGACATTAGCTCTAACATGCTCAGTTGGCGTGACATTGCATACCACGTGATAACACATTCCATGCAATCAAATCAACAATATGTAACTCTCGGAGTAATCGAGTGATAGTAAATTGGGATTCGAACGGACAAGGCACTTCGCCCAGTGTAAGCTGTCTATATCCTCAGCTTACATGTCTTACTTCTTGAAACCCCCTTATCACTCTCACTCGTCGCCGTCAACGTAACAGTCGCCTCATTCGAGGCCCTACTCTCCCTTCCAACCGCCACCTTAACCGTCTTCTGCTTCCCAGCGCCCGCATAAACAAGCGCATTTGGCAACGCGACCTTCCAGCCCTCGCCTTCGACCTTAGCTTCCAAGCGATAGATATCGGAGCCAAGGTAAGCAGAGAGATCTTGGGGGTGAGGATTAGTGCTGAGTTGAGCGGCTTTTCCCGTGTTCTTCAGCTCGAAGGTGCAATACGTGGCGTTTTCATCACTCAGGGACGGGCCGTCTTGCGCTACCTTGCCAGATCCGAGCTCGATGCCGTGTTTGGTAGATGTGGTGGCGTTGGCGGTGGCGGTGGATGCTACACCGACAGTATAATGTAAGACACCAGCCTCATCACGTAGCTTCTCAAGGATATAGAAGTGCAGACCATTGGGCTCGTCGATGTATTCGTATTCCGAGCCAGAATTTGTGCCGGCGTGGAAGAGCGCGTCTACGAGTTGTCGGTAGTCGCCGATGGTCCAGTACCGAGCCGTGCCGTTTGGAAGGTAGAAATCAATCTGGCGGGCATCTTGAGGGTTTGCGTCAATGACCCATTGGAAGGGTTGCACACGGTCGCTGTTCTTGGTTTTGCTAATCATTACGCCAGAATCGGGGCAGAAGGAATCAGCACCCATGCGGTCAACAACTTCGACGTTGTAGTTGTTGTAGCGGCGGCCATCGCAGAGTGGGTCAACAGTGACGTTGCATGGTGGTGCAAGGTCGCCTGCGGAACCAAAGGTAATGTTAAAACCCATGAGGCTGCCAACTGGATCGACTGATCTAGCTGTGAGCTGAGCAATCACTGGACCAGAAGCAGCAAGGCCAGACCGGGATATTTGCAAGATAGGAGTGTTGTCGATGAGGCCAATCTGGTGCTTGTCGCGCATCGTGTGTAGAGAACCCATGGAGGCACCTTGGACAGGTGGGATTTGCCAACGTGTGTGCGGACCTCCAGGACCGTTGAAGCTACCACGAGACAACATACTCCAAGGGCCGGTATAGGTACGTCTAGCGGGGTTGCTGAATGGGTTGTTGTAGTTGTCACCAATACCAAGCAGATGCGACAACTCGTGAGCAAACGTAGCCATGCCACTCGACTCTCCCTGCGTAGACGAGCCACCACCTGCGTTGGGCCAGATCGTGGAGGCTGCAGCCCACGAAGACCACTCGACATAGCGAGTACTTGCCCAGTTGGGGAGTGAAGAGTTGCCTGGGGGCCCAAACTCGGGGGGTACATCTTCTTTGGAGAGGAACTTCATTTCACCGAATTCCTGCCATGTAGACGACTCATCCTGGCCCGCCGAGAGGATGAAAGCCAATTCGAATGCGTCTGCGGTTTCGTTGCCAACTTCCGCTCGCCATGCTCCGAGAGCATCAGTGCGCAGGTCGACTGAACACGGAGGACCTTCTGGACAAGCACCTTCATTGAAGCCGCCCTCCTCATCGTCGATTCCGTACTGGTAGCTACGCGAGGGCATGCGATACGGGCCGAATACGGTCAGGTCGACTCCATATTTTCCAAATGAGTCGCCCATCCAGTACTCGTGCAGCGTATGACCCTGGTTGATCTCGCTTGGAACGTTGAGAAGATCGTGGTAGAATTTGGGTACATCGTCACGACTCAGGCCAGCAGCAAGCGGTTGTGGGTTACCGAAGATATCAGAGTTGGCCGGAAGAGTAACCACAAAAGGCGAATCCGGATAGTCGACTGTTATCATGGCGATGTTGAAGTTCCTGTCCCTACCCTTGCGCGATGGGTCTGCCCAATTAGTTTTCGGTGGTTCAACGTAGTCTATTGTATGATCAGCACATAGAACATAGCTCCTCTAACAAAGATCGTTTGCCTACCATCCCAAGTCATATTATCCGGGTTTACCCAGTTCTGAGGATCAATAGGCGTAAACGGATCCGAAGATGGGCTTTGGCGAGGAAGAACGGCAGCAGAGGCAAGCCTGAGCATTGCGCTCCCGAGTACCACCATGGCGGCACCCGATGACTGCTTCTTGTCTACCATTGAGCTTTCAGCGACCCCGGTTGAGGTCAAGAAGGCTTCTGGTCTAAGCAAGTAGAAGAGTGAAGCAAGACGCAAATCCAGCCAAAGTGTAGGCGGCGGGTGACTTTTGTACCGTCACAGCAGCATCTGGACATGCATACATTGTCCATAACCGACCCATTGCAATAAAAACCCGCATCATATCATGCTGATAGCCGCGTAGTTCAAGGCAAAGCCGGTCGATATACGGTTCGTCGGTATATCCGGCTGCCTCTTGAGGTTAGTTGCGTTCCATCGGTTGGCTTGGCAGACAAGCACCTGCTTGTTGGGGGTCGAGAATAGTGGATCCCAGTCGCACGCATTGTTGATCAACGTATAGTGGCACCGGGACGCCACAAGCTTCTCTGGCAGATGCTTGTAGTTGACATCATACATGGCGAAAAGGAAAAGGTAGAAGGTATAGCATACTATCACTCACGAGAAATAAACCCTCAAGACCCAACGAGTATTCAACAGTCTCAACGAGACGAGGGCGATAGTCTTTCCCTGTCTATACACATTTCACACCGCTGGTGCGAACCAGAGAGGGTACGGGCCAGGAAATCTTCGGCTTGAGACAAAAGAAACAAAGGAGATCGCCGTGCCGCAATCGTGTTTCTACCCTCCCAAGGCCCGGCTCACTGATATCATGCATAGTGAATGTTTTGGTGGTAAACCCAGTATTGCCAGCTACAGTGTACAGAGTAGATAGATTCAAGTACTAGCATATCTGCAAGCTAGACTACGCTTTTGGCATAAACTCCGGATTTGTTCGTCCTTGACAAGGAGAGTACCGTAGAGACGAACTCGTAGAATAATAAAGAAAAATGTCCGCAAACGCCGCCGTATGCAATGAAAGCCAGGTAAGACGGTCCAGTAAACAAAGATTGACAAGTCATCGAAAGCGCATCAAGACATGTGTCCTACTCATCCTGCTTGATTTCAAGCTTGGTCTTCTTAGGACTACCACTCTGGTCATCCTCAGCCTTGCGCTTGTTGGAGGAAGCGGCAATCTCGGCCTCAGTGCGCGAGTCCTTGACAACGGGGACGCCGTGAGCATCGCGCTCAATCTCCTTCTTCTCCTCCTTGGTGTTGGCACGGTCGTCCTTGCCGTTCTTGAAACGATCGCGACGCTTGTTCCAGTCACCACTGTCGACGGAGTCGTTGGAAGCGCTGCGGTCACGACGCCTGCGAGGAGAACGATCGCGGCGGTTGTCGCGACGATCACTGCCACCTCGGCCACCACGTCCTCCACGGTTGGATCCGCGACCACGGCCTCCGCCACGACGGTCGTTACCTCGGTTGCTGCTGAAGTTACCGTTGGCCTCGCGCGCCTTTTTACGCTTCTCGTACTTCTCCTGCTCGGTGAGTTCCCAATCTGGCTTGATTCCCTTCTCCTCGCATTTCATCGTGATGTACTCCTTCTTGCCCATAGTGGTGAGCTCGTTGCCATTGAACTTGGGCTTGGGGTCGAGAGCGAGGAACTGCTGCTGAGAGTCCTTGGAGTCGAACTCGACAAAGACACTACCCTTCCAGGCACCCTCGTCATCGCGGCGCTTGCGGACCATAACAGAGCCAAAGGGACGGAAGAACTGCTCGAGCGCAATCTGGCCAGCCTCCTCAGAAGCACCAAATCCTTTGACGTAGGCGCTTGTCTCCATGGTGTTGGATGAGCTGCTCCTTAGGCGGTAGAAGAGCTCTTCTGTGGTGGGGGGTTTCTCGTCGTCGCCCTCCTTAGCTGGGACGACTAGTGGCTCTTTGCGCTTGACAGCCTCGCTACCCGGCTTGCTGTACTCGCCATCATCGACAACAACAAGATCGCTGCTGTGACGGAGGGCTTCTACGACAGCGGAGTAGGGCTTGAAGCGACGCATGCGCTTGAAGGTGCAAATGTGGTGGATCGAGACAGGCTTGTTCTTGGGGCCCTCGAGCTCCTTGAACATGTGCTCATCGGTCGCCAGGTTCTGCGCAGAGAAGTAGAACTCGATCTGGGCGCGGTTAGTAAGCGAGACCAAGGGTGGAAAGACGGGAGTCATACTTGAGCGCGGATCTCAGCTGGATCGTCGGACTCTGGGAGGTTGTCAAACTCTTGGTTTTGCCTGTGCGAAGAGTCAGCTACTGCAAGCATCAATCGAAAGACGGGACTCTGGGCGTACTTCTTGCTACGGCCGTTGCCTTTGCTGCCACCGCGACCGCCTCGTCCACCACGGTTGTCGCGACCGTTGCGACCGTTGCGGTCTTCGCGGTCGTTGCGGTGAGCGCTCTTTTCGCCAGACTTTCCGTTGAGCTCCCATTTCTCCTCACCGTCGGCGGCTTTGGTGTCAGGCTTAGTCTCGGTCTTGGAGTCAGACTCGACCTGAAGCGCCTTCTCAGCCTGTGAGGTTTCGGCGGGGTTGGAGGCCGCCGCAGCAGCGATTTCGGTGTCGGCCATTTTTAAAACGGTTGCAGCGTGAGTCGCGTAGTTACTAGGGAGCTGCTGCAGTAATTTTTATGTTTGTATAACAAAAATGAAGGGTGGGTGAGAAGAAAAGGTCGAGGATGGGCGAAGAGCTATGGTTCTGCTAGTGGGGAAATTTCAATACTAGTACCAGGGTCCATAGGCGCCAAGTCTCACTCACTGCGGAATTGTTGCACGCCCGCTAATAATACCAGTCGACGTACGCCCTTTGGGAGCAGCAATAATACGCCGCCCCAATTGACTCACCCCCGCCGTCACCATGCCGCGCAAGAAGCCGAGGTTTCATTCACTCAAGAAGCTCGTATGCATCCCGTTGCCTGCCGTCAATAGGGCGTCCCGGTCGCTAACCCACTGCAGAATGTTCGCCAGAATTGGTCGCGCTGGTCTCTATACGCCCTTTCCCAGCTCAAGGCACCCAATGTTACCACACGCACATATTTCCAGCAAAAATGGACGGCAAAGGCGTCGACACGAGCGTACCACGGCGAGCACATACGAGAGAAGAAGTGGAAGCACATGTTCAAGCGAAATCTCCCCGCCGTAGTGCCCATGGACCACCAATATCTCGCTCGCCACGATGGTTCTGAGCAGGCGGCGGGACGAGGCATGGGCGCTGATGTGAATGACAAGACGAAGACGCCCCCGATGACGCCATACATGCAAATGGCCTACTATCCGCTGGAGCGGCGGCTAGATACTGCCATTTTCAGGGCTCTATTCGCAAGCAGTGTGCGGCAGGCCAGGCAGTTTGTCGTCCATGGCCTGGTCAAGGTCAATGGCAAGAAGGTGCGTCTGGCAGTGTCTACATGACCAAGCATCCAAACCCAGACTGACTTCAATCTCCAGATGGTATACCCAGGCTACGCACTCAACCCAGGCGACATGTTCCAAGTCGAGCCCTCATCCGTCATGTTTGCAACCGGAGCGCCCAAGACCCGCTCATCGACCGCCCGCCGCGTGACCAAGGAGAAAGCCGCTGCCCGCGCCCAAGAACGCGAGCAGAGCGGTGGCCAAACCCCCAAGCAATCAAACGACGCCGACCTAGTCATCTCGCAATCCTCGCGCGAAGAACCGACTCCCACAGAACTCAAGAAGCAGCTGCAGGACCTGATGGAGCAAGTCGATGGCGTCCTCGCCGAAGACGTCAAAGCAAAAGACAAGCAACAATTCCGTGCCCTCCGCTCAAGTATACGGAAAGCCATTAGCCTATGGCGCTCCGCAAACCCAGAAACAATCTCAACCCTCGACGCCCAATTCGACTTCCTCAAGACGCAAATCGCCGAACGCAACGCCGCCATGTCTTCCACGTCCTCGTCCAAAGACTCGGCTGCAGAACCCCTCATTTCCGAGGAAGACCAAGCGCGCCTTCGATCTGCGTTTGAGAAGCTAAGGCTGGAAACTGAACATACTTCAGCGTGGAACAAACGAGATGCCCAGGCACCGTATGCGACGCCCTGGCGGCCAAGGGATTACATGAGCGCTTTTGCATTTATCCCCCGCTACCTCGAAGTCAATCAAAACATCTGTGCAGCTGTGTACCTGAGGCATCCTGTCGCGAGACCCGGACTGGCAGAGGTTCCGACACCGTTCCATATCGAGACGGGCCAGTTGGCATTCAACTGGTACCTGCGCAACCGCTAGAGCAAAATCATAGATCATGAGAGAGGGCGTCTGTATAACTGTAGATAAATCCGCTGCTAGCGGTGTCAATTGCATTGTATAACATTGTCTTGAACAACAACAACAAAAATATTTGACTAGATATATGACGGACCTGCTGTGTATATGCAACAGAGATCTTTCCTCGTCGAAATTCGCGTCCAAAGAAAAAAAAGCATGCTGCAATCCTTTGCCAGAATCAACAAAACTCCAACACTATGATACATGAGGGCAGTAATAATATTAGTGAATAGCGTCCTCGGACTATCCGTTGATACTGTCATGGGGAAGTATCCCCTCCTAGTTGCTTGGCCTTGGAAATGACAGTGTCAAGTGTGCCTTTCGGCGCCATATCTACAAAGCAGGATACGGCTTCAAGGATTGGGGTCCATGCAGGATCCCTTTGTGCTGGTTGCTCGAATTGCAAGGTATGCAGCTCTAATTGTATGTAAACAACAGAGTGTATAGGTGTGAAGCGTCAAGACCGGGATGTGGGAACTGGTATGAATAGCTAAAGACGGGTTGAGGGTGCCCATTGCGGGCCCCGAATCGCAACGTCTTCAATCATCGTCCGACTCTTCCTCATCCAGAGTATAGATGCTCACAGGGTACCTTAGAGTCTCTGCACTAGGCCTAGGACTCACGTCGACAACACTACTCTCAGGTGTCCAGTGGGAGCTCACTTCAGATGTCGTGGATGCGGCGGCATACTGGTGAAAGCCATTAGCGACAACGTCAGACATGTCTCGGTCAGAATCATAGCCAGGTGGCTCCGTGGGCGTGTCTGAACGATAACTTGGCAGACTCTCGGTCCGCGATAGTGGTCGCGAAGGTATCTCAGGAAGCGATGTAGGGGGGTATGTGGATGCTGTTGATAGCGGGGAGAAGGGTGCGTGAGTTTGTTCCCGTTGGTAAATGAAAGGAGGGTGGTTGACACTTCTGCCTTCTTCGGCGTCTCGCACAAGATCATTGACAACATCGTGTGCTGCCCTCAATTGCCGGATCTCTTCTTGCATTGCATCTTCAAGCACATTTTCCTGCTCGGAGATGAGGGCCCTCTTCTCTTCATAGTCAGCAATGCGCTCACTGTCCCTCTGTGCCCAGTTACCGCGCCACCACTTGCTCCATGCATGCTGGCGCGCTGCTCGGCGATAGGCACGAGCGTTGATGCGTTCTTCCCGGGCAGCAGCACGCTCAGTACGTGTTCGAAGGCTGCTGCATTTATGGCGGATTGCAGTGAAAATACAGCCGCAACAAAGGATGCCAAAGGTGATTTCAATGGCCAAAACGAAGGGTGATTCTTTGGTAGGTCTTGGTGGAAGTTCAACCTAGGACGTGTCAATTTGGATCTTGGACGACGACAAGGGAATGATCAACATACTGCTTCCGCTTTGTACGCTTGAGGGGTCGGTGTGCTGGCCCTCAAGCTATCATCAGAAACCTGTGCTACCTGTGCGACATGATCATGTGCCTGGGGGAAAATGTGCTCCGGACGGCCCATGTTGATTGGCTTTTGGCCAGGCTTGTAGCGGATGTACGCTACTCTCCACGCGCCGATAGCCTTGTGAGCAACAGTCTTCAAGATGCAAGAAATGCCGTCACAATTACTCAGTTCTTGTGAGACGTGTTGCGCCTCTTTTCTCAACCGCGAATGAATAAGCTTCTTCTGTTTGGTGATGAGCGACTGGAGTACTTCAAGTTCACTTTCAAGCGCTTTTAGTTGGCGAATATCGCCCTCTAAGGACTGAGCTCCAGTAGCGGGAGATGAAACCTCGACGTTGTCAGAGACGACAAGACGCAGAGCCTGGGGCGGTTCGCGCCAAGATTCAGCGACGTCGGTATTGCTGGCAGAAGGGTCTGGGGCAGACTCAAGCCTGAGCAGCGACGGGGGTGAGGTGTGCTGCTTGAAAGAAATGGTAAAACCAGAGGGAGTGTCTAGGGGTTGGCCGTCAATGGCCTTGATGTTAACGGTCAGGACTTGTGCAGCTTCTGTTTCTCTGTGGCCGTGAAGACAGGCCGTCTTCCATTCGAGATCCAAGTCGCGCTGCAAAAAGCGTTCATTCTGCGTGAGGTGGGTGAGGGCCTGGTAGGAGCCCGAGCCGGAGGCAAAGTCTCCGGACCACTCCTGGGGAAGATGTACTCCGTTCAAGGTAACGTTGGAAGAGCCGCAGGCGTCATCTTGGGCATGGCTGGTGAAGCTCAGGATCTGGGGGGGCGCGGGTCAGCAGGTGGGACGGTGGTGTTTAGTTGCCTGAAGTGGACCTTACTAGAGACTCGTCATTCTGGTCCGTGTGAGCCGGGCCAAGACAGCCAATACATGGAACGCTGAAGGTTGCTTGCGCGTAATTGTGCTGCACGTCTGCAAGTAGTAACACCTGGTCAGCAGCTGCCTAGACATGGCAAAAGGCGGATGGCTATGTCTGTCGTAGTATAAGAGAGGGGCATACCGAGATGCAGCAGGTCCTCTGCTCGAGCAGCTCGACCCTGGGAATGAGGTAGGACGGCGGCGAGCACAGGAGCCGCCCACGCACACGCTGTAAGCACCTTTGACCTGAACCAAGGCATCACAATCGGACGGCCGAGACAACTACGGCCAGAGAAGGGGACAGGAGAACTAAAGAGCGAGGCCCGGACGATGGGACAGTTGGTCCCAAGAGTGTCCAGAGAATCAGGCACCAGTCGCTACCGTCAGCACTGGCGTGGCTTAGACGTCTGAGACGACTGCGTGCCATTCAGCCACGGTTTGAGGCGTCCAGCGCGTCACGTGCTCGTGGCTGTTCCGCCAAGCCCCCGATCCACGCTTGGGCCAGCATCATCGTGCAGTCAGTCGAGGGCCGTGATATTCGCCGCCTGCTCCCACTTTGACAACGCGTATACATCAATTGAATCGCCCAGCGCCATGGTATGTCCCTTCAAGAGTCGCGCTGCCTTCTCTCGCAACTTGGCTGACTCGCATGCCAGCTTCCCTTGGGCCTTCTCACGGCCGCGACCGGCCACCCAATGCTCGTTGAGCTCAAGAGCGGCGAGACACTCAATGGGCTCCTGGTCAACTGCGACACTTGGATGAACCTTACCCTGCGAGAGGTCGTACAAACAAGCGCAGATGGCGACAAATTCATGAGGCTGCCAGAGATCTATGTTCGCGGTAGCACAGCACGTCTACCACCCCCCTTCGAAGCCAGCGCAAAACTAACATGGACTAAGATAAAATACCTACGAGTACCTGACGAGATTGTCGAAATTGTAAAGGAGCAACAGGCCAAGGACCAAGCGAATCGGGGCGGACGAGGAGGTGGCATGCATGGGCGAGGAGACCACCGCGGCGATCGTGGCGGGGGAGGTAGGGGGACGAGGGGCAGAGGACGCGGTCGTGGCAGAGGCGGTGGTGGTGGTGGTGGAGGAGGAGGAGGTGGCGGTGGCGGTGGTGGTGCTTGAACGGCCTCATGTCCATCTGGCTGCTTCGCCCGATGGTACATGCCATGCATAGACCCACCGACCGGTCGACCCAGGGCGACGTTGATACGGTGATATTCGGGCACAGCATTGCAGGACTGTAATGGCAGTCGTTGTCGACTAGCTTGTCTTGCCGGGCGCATTCGCACTTGGTTACATCACGAGATACCCTGATTGTCAACTTCTACATGAGCACTGTTGTTGGCCTTGTAGAATCGCACATCAAGCCTCAAGCCTTGCTGCTCCTTTTCGTAGCTGTAGCAGTCTACCAACTAGCCCCGACATATTGTCAGCCATGCGAGCTCCTATCGCCGCAGCAAGTATTCACCATGTCCACCATCCATGTGCTTCTTGTGTCTCGTGAGATGTCTCGCGAAGCAACTCAAGCGTGTGCACTTATAGTTCTGTGCCGTCTTGGCGCGGAGCTTCATCTTCCTCGACCGTGCTCGACTTGCAATTTTGGGATTGTTGCTCTCATATATATGGCTCAGGTTTAACATGTGCTGGGGCGAAAGTAAAGAATACCCAAAAGCCAACAACCCCTTCATAAGAAGTCAACTCGTTTTACAATTGAAGGTACCACAGGCCAAGTAAGGGTCCAGAATTTGTTGTAGAGATTAAGTGTATTCGTATCAAACCTTAATACTAGAGCCCAAGTCAACATTCTTCCCCTCGCCAGCAATTTGATTAACAACACGAGAATGCTGACTTGGTTGACATAGCTAGGTTAAGAGGAAATTTGCTTTCTGCATCGTACCCGCTGACGTGAGGTAGGAATAGGCATTTTGTGGCACGTAGACATGTCGCGCTAGGAGGAATGACTGGCGGCGGCAGATTTCTTGTCAATTTGGGACGATCTGTCGGTACGTCCCGGGAGGAGTGCATTCCTTACATAGACTAACTTGAGACGCTTCTCGCCATGTGGGCCATCTGTGTGTTACTTGCAGTGACTACGCGTGCGATGATGAGTCTGTTGGTTTTGTAGAAAGATTGGAAAGGGGTGTATGCATTGTGTCCAATCATAAAAAGAGTAGTAATAAGAACGATGCTAATATCCACACATGTGGCCGGCAGTTACCCCAGAGCCCGTGCTTTCACATGAATCGTACAAGCTATACAGAAATCACAATCACCTCGGCTGCTTAGCAATATTTTAACAAGCACTTGTAGTAAGTAAGATATTCTTCTTAGTCAATACTCAGCTGTAGCATTTTAGATATTTCCCCTTGTGGGTAGCCCTTCTCCATGGAATGCATTACGACAACATGTCAAACCGTCTCTTATCGTCCGGCCCATGTCGAAGCGCTAGTCATCCAGCTGGAATAAAGGATGGCTTTTCCACACAGACTCAACGCCAAATCTTGGCTGATCGGACCAACGCATGGAGCTTCCACGTCTCCACTGGCTCCTTGTTCTCCAGAACCAAGACTCGGTGGCGTTGCGGGGTACGTATGTACGGGAAGCAATGTCGGGAGGGAACCGGACGAAGAGATTTACTGCGTGAACAAGTGGAGAAGAAAGGCTTCAGTTCAGATTCCGACCTTACTACCCGGTGACAGGCTTGGACTGGGTTTCTTGACAGCGGTTGACCTAGACCCCCCGTCGATCTTAGTTAGTTCTGGGGGAGGTTCCGCGTATTGGCCAGGTGGGCCGATTAGCGTTACGCTCGACCCGAAAGGGGTTTAGCCTCCCCCAGCTGTGGCTCTTGGCGTCCCACCCCGCCAGCCCGACAGGGGGATGTTCGCTGACAGGACGGTGAGATTGGGCAGAGGGCCCCGGGAGTGCTGGATTCAAACTATAAAGCGCAATTGCGGCATTGCGACCTGCCATGGGCCGCGGCAGATAAGGTCTTTTGTCTCTTTCTCACTTACTTTCTGCGACAAACCTCACTGCCTTTCACCATGGCTCATGCTCAGGCCGACTACGTGCCTGAAAAGTACGAGGCTGGCCAGTACTCGCCCAGCCAGCAAGAAGACCTCAAATCTGAACTTCCGCACGAAGTGGCTGCTCATGGCCATGCTACCACGGACGCGTAGGTGCCCAAATCGCTGTACCCCCAGGTTGCGCGTATTTTGTTTTCTAATGAGTAATCTAGCTATGGAGAGCCTACAATCACCTTTGACAAGAAGGCTGAAGCGCGGCTGAAACTCAAGATCGATCTGTACATCATTCCCACAGTCGCTCTCCTCTACCTATTCTGCTTCATCGACCGAGCAAACATTGGAAATGCACGTCTGGCCGGTCTGGAAAAGGATCTCCATCTCAAGGGACACGACTACAACTCTGTCTTGTCCGTTTTTTATATCAGCTACATTGTTTTCGAAATTCCGTCGAATATGGCTTGCAAATGGATGGGTCCCGGGTGGTGTGCGTATTACCTCTACAACTCTGCAATGGGCGCAAAACACTTACAACTCCGATTGTAGTTATTCCTATCATCTCGCTGTGCTTTGGCGCAGTCTCGATAGCCACGGCTTTTGTCCATACCCAAGCCCAAGTATCAGGCGTCCGGTTCGTGCTGGGCATGTTTGAAGCTGGAATGTGAGTAACTTTTGTGGCTCTGTTGAGATGTCAGCTTATGAAGTTTCTCTAGGTTGCCTGGTATCGCATACTATCTATCGCGATGGTATCGCCGCTCTGAACTTGCATTCAGGCTGTCCCTTTACATCGTCATGGCTCCCCTTGCTGGCGCGTTTGGCGGTCTCCTCGCATCGGCCATTCTGACCCTGGATAAATTTGGATCTCTCACACGATGGCGAATGATCTTCGCCATTGAGGGAATCGTTACGTGTGGACTTGCAATCATTTCCTTTTTCACGCTTACAGACCGACCCGAAACCGCGCGCTGGTTGACACCGGAAGAGAAGGAATTGGCAATTGCCCGTGTCAAGTCTGAGCGTTTGGGTCAAAAAGAGGTGCTTGACAAGGTGGATAAGAAGAAGTTTATGCACGGAATCTTTAATCCTGTGGTGTTGACCACAGCCTTCATCTTCCTACTGGACAACATCACTGTGCAAGGCCTGGCTTTCTTTGCGCCCACTATTGTCCGCACAATCTATCCAAAGAAGACGGTTGTCTCGCAGCAGCTCCACACGGTCCCACCTTATATTGTGGGAGCATTCTTCACGGTTCTCCTACCATTCCTCAGCGGGCGATTCGACAGGCGTATGATCTTCTTCATCATTGGAGCGCCTTTCATGATGGTGGGCTATATCATGTTCTTGGCAAGCGAAGATGGTCAAGTACGCTACGGAGCTACCTTCTTGATCGCTTCAGGAGCATTCTCTTTTGGCGCGCTGTGCAATGCGCAAGCTTCGGCCAACGTTGTGTCTGACACGGCAAGGGCGTCTGCCATTGGTGAGTTACTCGAATCATGAATTAAATACGGAATCACTGCTAACATGTATTCCCAGGTACTGTGGTTATGCTTGGCAATATCGGCGGACTGATTTCGACATGGAGTTTTCTGTCGACCGATGCGCCAAATTATCCCATTGGCAACGGGCTTAATCTAGCCACCAGCAGCGTGATTCTGATTTCGAGTATTGTACTTCTATTCTGGATGAAGCAGAGCAACAGCAAGCGGCAGAATGTGGATGCCGAAGTGGAATTGGCAGGCAAATCCCAAGAGGAAATAGAGGACCTAGATTGGAGACATCCATCTTTCCGATGGAAGGCTTAAGCGTGTCATGGGTTTGGTCAGGGTATTTTATGCGCAAGGCAGGATATGATCACTCGATAAACTTGCGTAGTATAATACGAAGAGAAAAAAAAAGTAAACGTGCACCCGTCGTGGCCATGAAGTTGGTACATAGTTCCTGATGACCGAACAAAGTCCGCGACTGATAAGCGTTCCCCCGCACAGTGGAGAACCCCTGCAAGCCGCGTCGACCTCGGTTCGATCCTCACTTGTCGTGTATGGCTGAGTCGCATGTCGACATGACAAAATAAGCGGATCGCCCCGTCGAGTTCCAAGCTTTGTACTGTGTCTTTTGTGATTGCCATTGCTTGAATTGTCTTCTTTCTTTTGCACCTCTGGGTCACAAGTTAGAGAACATGCCTTCGGCCATTGTGATTAAGCAGGTTCCAGGCAAGCCAGGACAGGTCTACTACCCGCTAGAAAAGATCATTGTGCCTGAGTCCACGCCCAAGGAAAATGAGGTAATGGCTCTCCGCCTGTACATTTGCCCATCACACCAGCTAACTCTCTCCTACCTCAGGCCGTCATAACCCTCACAGCAGCCGCCCTCAACCACCGCGACCTCTTTATCCGCCAACACCTCTACCCCGGCACCACCTTTGGCGTACCTCTTCTTGCAGATGGTGTCGGCATCGTCAAAAGCACAGGCTCTTCGGCGACAGCCAAGCCATGGCTCAACAAGCGCGTCATACTGAACCCCGGCACAGGCTGGAAGGACAGCCTCGACGGGCCAGAGCACCCAAAGGGGTACTCGATCATGGGCGGAACCAAGACCAATCCCGTGGGCACACTCCAAGACGAGTGCGTGCTCGACGCAGGGGAACTAGAAGAATGCCCCGAGCACCTGAGTGACGAAGAGGCTGCTGCGCTTCCCCTCACAGGATTGACCGCATGGCGCGCATTCCACGTCAAGAGCGGCAATGCCGTTGCTGGCAGGAACATTTTGGTCACGGGCATTGGCGGCGGCGTCGCCCTCATGGTGCTGTCTTTTGCCGTCGCCTGTGGATGCAACGTCTACGTCACCAGCGGGAACCAAGACAAGATCGACAAGGCTGTCAAGTTGGGCGCAAAGGGCGGTGTTATTTACAAGGAGAAAGATTGGGACAAGAAGCTGCAGGCTATACTGCCAAAGGATAGGCCGTATCTTGATGCTATTGTCGATGGTGCTGGCGGCGATGTTATCAAGGTTGGAAGCAAGCTTCTCAAGGTCCGTTGCCATCTACTTTGCATGTTTCATTTGTTCTACAGACTAACGAATCTGTTTCTAGGTTGGCGGTGTTATCTCTGTCTACGGCATGACCGTCTCTCCCAAGATGGACTTCCTCATGTCCGCCGTGCTGCGCAACATTGAAGTTCGTGGCTCTACTATGGGCTCGCGCAAAGAGTTTGCAGAAATGGTCCAATTTGTTCGTGACACAAAGATGAAGCCAGTCGTAAGTCGTAGTGTGCACGGATTGGATATCGAGAAGATCGACACGCTCTTTGAGGATATGAAGAACGCCAGCCAGTTTGGAAAGTTGGTTATTACTCTTGGGAACGAGAAAGCAAGTAAGTTGTGAGGGGTGTAGTAGAATCGAAAAATCCAATCCTTGTCCCCAGCCGTACCGGTGTTGTCCAACAGGAGGGCTAGCAGGATGGTTTCATGCTAAGCAGATCTATTTTAAGTTGTGGCTCTGGCTCTGTTTTCTTTTTTTGAAGCCATGACAACCGCCATCACATCCTCCGAATTTCCCCCACATGTGTCAAAGTTTATTTGGAATACATCCACCATTCCCTCACACTATGCACGGGAGATGTCACATGCACTTACCCAGCCATGTGGCGCGGAACAATTGAAAATGACCCGGTAGGGCCGTACATATGACAATTTGGTACAGCTAACCTTGACACATGCTCAGACCGCAATGGTGGATTCATATATCTCTGCACCGACTGCGACAAGGCCATGGCTTCTGCTGGTTTCATGGCGTGATGCAAAATAAGGTTGGACAGTGAACCGTGGGAAAAGTACATCTCGCGGGAGGAACAGGATGCGACTCTCTGGGAAACAGCATGTGGCACTTTCGCATCTACATGCGAAACGGAAAAGAAGTGGATCAGCAAATACCCGCGTTTCTCCACACGCTTCCCGAGGAGGATGGATCCCCACACCTGCAGATACCACCCGACATTGCCGGTAGGCGGTTGTGGAACCATCTGAGCCAGAAACAGCTGTCAAGCTGTAAGCCAAGCCAGTACTGTACTGTACACATCTGCATCTACTATCTCAGTCCATATACTAAACCTAAACCCACTAGGAACCACGCCTACCAACACTCAAGCCGATAATCTACAGCTGGGTCCAGCAGCCGACGCAGGAACAGTAAACAACCGACATGATGACGGAATCTTGGTTCAACCCACATCTCTCAACAGATGAAGCACGAGCAAAACGCGCAACGCACGTTTTCATGCCCCAAAAACAAGGGTAGCAACGGGGGTGACCCAAAGAACCAAGTCCAGCCCTCTCCTCGGAGCGCTTTGCACATACTCTCTTTCTCTCTCTCTTTTCAAAAACAACGTATCGTCCACAGTTAACCACTTTTGTTTCAAGTCAAGTTTTTTTTTCTTCATCAGCCAGTAGGTAGCGCGCTTCGAGTCTTCGTTCGTCCTTGTCCACACGGCTACACGCAGAATATCCCGTGATACATTGATACACGCGCTCTCTTGGGGGAATTCGGGGGATTTTTGCATGCGTGTTGTTATTGCTGCTACCACCGTGTGTATGAGCGTATGCAAAGTAGTCAACCATGAAGTTCAACCTAGCAGCAAGCGTAAAGCACGTCACACGAGTCCTCAACCCCGATCTCGAAATCCCAGACAGCAGCGGTAGTAAAAGTAGCACTGCTCCTCCGCCTGGTGCTACTCGAACCCCATCTTCTTCATCCTCCTCCTCGCCACCTCCGTCCTCCGTTTCGTCATCTCCACCAGCAGCAGTAGCACCACCACCACCACCATCCGTCCCATCATCCCACAATGGAACCAAACACTCCTCAAAGCGCTCCTCCCTCTCCGTCCGCAGATTAAGCAGAAAATCCGCTCCAGTCTGCACACCACAAGCGCCTCCACCAAAACCACCACTATCAACATCAACTCTCGAAGCCAAAACCACCCTCCCCGCCGCCTTCAAAAGAGACTATTCTGCAACAGCAACTCAAGATCCAACACTGCGATCCTACCCACCTCCTATATCCTCCACACGCCGCTCCCGCGCCAGCACTATAACCGCTACATCGGGACGAAGTACGTACCGCAGTAAACTGGATCCCGCCGCCACCGCCGAAACAACGACTGCTATATCGTATCTCGGGCTCCAGAGCCTCACATCTCCCTCGCACACCTCAAGCGTACCTCCAGCAGCGCCAGCGCAACAAGGAACAGCAACATGTCTCTGCGGCGCAGTGCACCTCGCTTTTCCCACCACTACACCTGGTCTCGTAGCATCCTTTGTATGTTACTGCCTTGACTGCCGAAAAGGAGGGGCTGAGGCTAGTATTGTTGTTAAAGATGAGTACGTCCCCCCCTTTTTCCCCTTCCTATACCTACCTACTCTCCCCCCCAAAAAAAACAACAACCTTGAAAAGTCCTACTACTACTAGTTTGCTAACGTTGGGAAATAAAGCCACCTCAAATACCTCCGCGGCTCCTCAAACCTCGCCTCCTTCTCTCAACCCGCGTCTACGCCCTCCAGCCACACCTCCACCACCTTCTTCTGCCACACCTGCGGCTCAAACATGTACAGAGTCGGCGCTGCGTTCCCCGGCTGCACAATCATTCGCATGGGTACCGTGGATGATGCGCGGCTCATCGAGGGTAGGTTGAGGCCCACGCGCGAGTTGTGTGTCAAGGAGAAGGCGAGTTGGGCGGGTGGGGTTAAAGGGGAGGAGGTGAAGAGGAGGGTGGGACTGTTTTCGTAATGAGGTTTATGCGTATGCGATGAGTTTTTTTTTCTTTTTGGAGTTTTTGTAATGGGGAGCATGGTTGAACAGGAGTGTGTTTTTTTTTAGCGATTTCTTTTATACGAGGTTATCTGAATTATGGGGTCATGGCAATCTTTTCGAATTGAGAGGAGGTGGGGGGAGTCTGGATGGGATTTCAGTTGCGTCACTGGTGTTTGGATGAGTTAACGGCGATATGCCAGATCTTTTTATGACAGAAGGGGGATAAGGAGCCATTGATCAGCTAGCAAGCAATTCTGCATAGCATTGTTTGTTGAATTTACTAAATGTGTGCCAACTATCTAAGTGGCATCTCCAGTGTCACTAACGTCAATTCATCCCATGCCATACCATGCCATCTCGTAAGATTAAACAAAAACGCCATGCTCATGCAAAGAAGGATTGAAAAACTCGGGAAAAGAGGAGCGAAAGCAACAAACACCGTCGTGTCTCACGACCCAGTATTTGCTTGCATCCATCGATCAACATCATCAGCAACGTCCATGTCCGCATCCGCGCCACCAATCAGCTGGCCATCGTCTTCTTCGTCCTTGATGTCCGCTTCACCAACGGTAGCAGAAGAATCGTCATCATCTTCAGCCCTGGCCTGAGCTGTACTTACGGTCATGGTAGAAGGTTCAAGACCACCAAAGGCGTCATTAGGAACCCATGCAAGCTCCAACTTGCCCACGTCAGGAATCTGAAGCGACTGATCGAGAAACATCTCAGCCTGGTAGCGCTCCCTGAATGTAAGGATAAGAGCATCATCTTGCTCTGGATGGCGGTCGATAGACGTGCAATCGGGAACGTTCTATACATCTGATTAGCAGAAGAAAATATATAACACGCATATATCCACTTACCAGAAGATACTGCCTCAAAGCCTCATCTCTCGGAGTGTCAGCTTCAATGCCAGAAACAGCAAGTCGTCTGGGTCTGTTGTCAAGTCTCTTGACGGCACTACGACCCGGAAACGCAGAAGCGACAAAGCCAGACCCGCGACCGTGATACGCGCCTCTATAGGGTGTGAAGCCTCTGCCACGGGGAGGGAAGGGGGCAAAGCCACGGCCTCGATAACCCCCACGGAATCCGCCATAGCCACGGCCACGTCCTGAAGTGTCGCTAGGGTCGTGTTGGTCAAAGAGCTCGGCAGCTTCGGCTTGAAGAGTCTCCAGTGTCTGCGAAAATTCGTCAGCCTTATCGCCCGATAACTCTGCGAGCTGTCGTCTAATTTCCTGCATCTCGTCATTCTTCTCTTTCAACTGGCGCTCAATCTCCGCGGCTCTAGCATCGGCTTCCTCCTCCCTTCGACGACGTTCTTCAAACGCCTTCTGTGCTTCTGCCTGTCTAATTGCAATGGCCTCGAGGTCAAGTTTCTCCTCTTCTGGATGCTCCTCGGGTCGGTACCAATAGACCTTGACGAACCGATTCTCAAAGATGGCTTTTGGGCTACTGTATGCTCGACTCGCAGCAGAATGATCGCCGAACTTGATAATTGCCAGTCGTTTGTCGGCGTGAATGTCTACTTCGTCGATGCTGCCAAACTCCGAAAAGTAGTTTCGTACACTGTCTTCATTGAGGTTCTCTGGGGGGATCTGTTCAACCACCAGCATAGTGTTTGACGGATCGCGTGACGGACCGGATTGGGAGAACGGCGCGCGTGGTTTACCGCCCTTAATGGTGCGACGTCGACTCTGTGATGAGGCACGGTTGCGTGTACCTCGATGAAGCTGTACAGCAAGATACGACTGTTCCGGGTCATACTCAGGGATTTCGTTGGCTGGAATGGCAACAGCAGCGTCGCTATGTTCAAAGGGGCAAAGGGTTCCCATAGCGCAAAATCCTTTTTCGTAATAGTTCGTACACAAGCCCTTGGAGCCCTTGGAACCCTTATGACTGGAACTATTGCCTTGGGTATCTGAGGAGAATAGTGGCATGCCAGGTAAATTTGCGCCAAAAGCTGCAGCCATTGCAAAGAAAGCCATAGGATCTGACGGGTCGAACGGAAGAGGTCCTGGTGGGGGCGCTGGAAGATTTGCAAAGTTTGGCATGCGACTTAGATCATACGAAGCGTTGTGTTGAGTGTCTCTAGCTCTTGCGTTTCTACCGCCCCTACGCGATGTCTGCTTCGATGGTCTGTTACCACCGGCCCCGCTGCGATTGTAGTGCGGATCCTGACCCTCCCAAAACTGGCCATTGTCCTCTTCCAACGTCTTGCGTTTCCTTGATCCATCCTGCTGCATGCCCTGCGCGGCCGGCCGGTCGACTAGACGATGTGGTGTGGGCGGAAATCTAGTCGCGGCTGGACCTCTTGGTGCATTGAATGGCACATTCGAGTGATGGGGTTCATATTCAAGATTCGTACTGCCTACTATGGACTGTATAGGCGCAGAAGATGGAGCCTTTGGAAGATAACTCTTGTCGTTCAGCGCCGCGATCACGTCGTTTACGAATGGCTCAGTATCTGTTTCTTGTTAGTCACTCATGTCCTGCGCGACCAGCATGTGCGACATTGTCTGACTGCTGCTTACTATCTTTCCCGAGGAAATCTTCCAATGATTCGATACAACTGCGCCGAACGTTTGCTTCAGTTTCGTCAACGGCAACAAGCGCAGCAACGTAATCGGCAAGAACCCCAGCCTCAGCATCCGAGCTGTACTCATTGTTAGCACTCCGAATCCACAACCTTCGCGACAGCAACAATCGGCTCTGACTTACATGGTCTCGAGCTTCGGCAGCAACCAGCTTTTGAAAGCAGCCTGATCCTTTTCGTGAAGCAGCATCATGGCTCTAGCTCCAGAATTCCCGCGCTCCTCCGGATTACGCGATTCGGAAGATAGGAATAAGTAAACTTTTGCTGCAAGTTGAGGGTGGATTCCGCAGCACGGGAGTTGAGCCAAGCGCACGTAATTCGCGTTGTTCTTAGCGCGACCAGAGGTCATAGCTTCGCTGACCCGTGAGCACGTGACTATACCTGCCCCTCCACATTCACTGCTTTCACTGCTCTTACCAGCAACATCACTTTCACTGCTCACACACAAGAATATCAGAGCAATGGCAAACAGGTTTTGTGCAACATAGTTTGATTTTCTCCAACTACACGACACCAAGAACAGGTAAGGAAATAATGGGTCATCATCGTATCTTTCGTGCAAACCCGCAAAAACCTGACCGTTATGGGCGAACCGCCCGGACCGACATTTACTAACTCTAACTGCTCTTAAAATAGAGGGGAGCCATTTGCGTCATACATAGACCAGCGGCCACGAGCTTGCCCATGACTGAGGGATGACCCAGGGTTGCGAGGAAAGGAAATCTAGTGCTTTTGACAGCTTTCCTTTATAGCTTGTCGTAGTACTGCGAAATTTGTTAGCATATGCTTGCATGGTGAGATCTGGAGAGAAACTTACGTTGGAGACGTCAGGCACCTCAACCTTGATACCCTTGCGCTTACGCATGTCGGCAACAATCTTACCAACCATGGTGGTGGCGTCAAGTGGCGATCCACCCTGGAGAAGCTGCCAGTGGTCGAAGACTTGTTGAGGGAAGGCCTGTCCACCAGTGGCGGCACGGAGATCGGCAGTGAAACCGAAAGACTCGTTGACGGGGAGGTATGCCTTGACGTTGAACAGAGGAGTACCAACACGCTGGTTCTCCTCGAAAACGTGACCTCTCCTTCGGGTAAGGACACCGTAGATACCACCCATGGCTTGCTCGGGAACCTGGATTTCAACGAGGTAGACGGGCTCGAGCAGGGAAGGCTCGGCAAGGAGAGTGGCGGCGTAAAGGACACGACGCGCGGTAGGGATGATCTGACCACCACCACGGTGAATGGCATCAGCGTGGAGAGTGACATCCTGGATGTTGAAGCGGATGGAACGCATGGGCTCCTCAGCAATGGGACCTTCCTTGGTGGCCCACTGGAAACCAGAGACGACAGAGTCCTTGATTTCGCTCAGGTACTGGACGGCCTTGGTCTGGTCGATGAGCAAGTTGGCACCAGTGGTGTCAGGACCGAAGCACCAAATCTTACGGGCATCGGTGACATCCCAGCCGTACTCGTCAGCCAGGATACGGGCACGAGTCTTGATATCGTCACGAGGAGCGATCTTGCCAGTCTCAATGGCCCTGGAAACCTCCTCGTCCAAAGGCTGAGCAGTGAGGTAGAGACGGTTGTGCTTGTTGGGCGACTTGGACAGAGCAGTGATGCTGGAAGTCGCGTTGACAGTCTCACGGTACTGGACGACGGGGTCGGAAATGCGGAGAGGAACACCAGCGTGGTCCTCCTCGAGATCCTTCAAGCAAATCTCCAAGTGCAGCTCACCGGCACCAGCAACAACGTGCTCACCGGATGGCGAAATGTAGGTCAGAACGCAAGGATCCGACTTGGACAGACGCTTGAGACCTTCAACCAGCTTGGGGAGATCCTGAGCGTTCTTGACCTCGACGGAACGCTGAACGACGGGGGAAACGGAGAACTTCATAACCTTGAGGTTGTGGGCAGTCTCGTTGGTGGTAAGAGTACCAGACTTGAGCAAGAACTGGTCAACACCGACAAGACCGAGAATGTTACCGGCAGGGACATCCTCAATGGGCTCGACGAAACGGCCCATCATGAGAATGGTACGCTGGATAGCCTTGATGAAAAGGTCGTCCTTCTTGCCAGGGGTGTAGTTAGGACCCTGGATACGGACCTTGAGACCAGACTTGACGGTACCAGAGAAGACACGACCGAAAGCGTAGAAACGACCCTTGTCAGAAGTGGGCACCATCTTGGAAACGTACAGCATGAGAGGACCCTTGGGGTCACAGTCACGGATACCAATGGCGTTGACATCGTCGTGGGGACCCTCGTACAGAGTCTCCATGCGGTACCTCTGGGCAGTGACGGGAGAAGGAAGGTGGAGAACCATCATCTCGAGGAGAGCGTCAGCGGCGGGAAGGAACTTCCTCATGACGACCTTGAGGAGAGCCTTGCC